TGGGGGAGGTGTCGGTTCAAATATTTTGCCCATTAAAATTTCTTATGATTGAGTTTTGAGATTTCTCTCTGTATTCTTTAAGTTCGTCCTTTATCACTTATATGATTTGCAAATCTTGTCTTCCTAGTCTGCGGCATTTTTTTTTTTTTTGAGATGGAGTTTCGCTCTGTCTCCAGGCTGGAGTGCAGTGGTGTGATCTCAGTTCACTGCAACCTCTGACTCACTCGTTCAGGTGATTCTCTTGCCTCAGCCTCCTGAACAGTTGGGACTACAGGCATGTGCCACCACACCCAGCTAATTTTTGCATTTTTAGTAGAGACGGGGTTTTGCCATATTAGTCAGGATGGTCTCAATCTCCTGACATCGTGATTTGCCTGCCTTGGCCTCACAATTCACTCTCTTAATAGCACTTCTAATAGAGGAGGTTTTTAATTTTGATTAAGTCCAATTTATCAATTTTTTTTTTTGATGGATCTTGCTTCTGGTGCAGTACTCAAGGACTGTTAGTTTAACCTAAGATCACCTTCTACATTTCCTGTTTTTCTCTCTTTTCATTTCTTGGTGCCTGGAGCAGAAGTGGCAGAGCTGGTTTGTGGATGTGAAGAGATTCTTGTTCTCCGCATTCAATAGCTCTGTGCAGTCTGGCTACTTGCCATTTGGATTTGAAGCATTAGAAAAAAGGAGCAGGAGACTTGAAAACTTTCTGTGAAACCTCACATTCTAACTAAGAAAAGAAAGCCACTAATTGCTTTCAGAGAACTTGTCAAGAAGGTTTCAGATGTACTCACAGTCAGTTTTTCCAAGCAAAAGCAAAAGCAAAAGCAGTTTTATACAGTATTTTGAAATGTTAACCAGTGGCATTTATTATTTAGAAAGCTGGGAAATGGGAAGAACTTTCTTGGCATTTTAATTTTTTAAGTGTAATTAAAATATTCTTTCTTTCACTTTGTTTTCTAATTTAGATACTATATTTTTGGAATATGAGCTTAGATAATGACTCAAAATAAACAATGTTTGTACTGAATGAGCAGTTCTAAAACTTAAAATTTAATACACTTAGGTTATAATAATACAGATCTCAGTATTCCATTTGGTCACATTGTTTGGAAATATTTGTCATTAATTATAATTCTGGTATGAACTACATTTGTTGAAATTGCTTTAATTCAAGGCAGCCTCTATACAATATTTTTCAAAACATCCCAGGGTTCTAAGTCACCAAATATAGAAATAAAGCCTCTCCCTTAAGACATGCAGTATAAAGCAAACCTTATAACTGTGAGAAGAAAATAATTTGAAAAGCTTCAATTTAACTTAATTAAATATTTATAGAGCAGATAATCTAAAAGAGTTGCTTAGTTAATGCTAGGTGATCCTTTTAGTGAAAATCTATTCTGATCTTGTCACTCATATTGCTCATTACTTTTAAGACATTTGAGATCATTTTTTAGAAGACTTGGGTCGTCTATGTTCAGAGGTTTAGGTTTAAAATTATGACACTACACTGAGGAGGGTGCTATTGCTAAAGCTGGTTTAAATAGTTTAACATGCAGTCAGAAAATTTGTTTTTCGTTGACATAAAAGCTAGCTGAAGGGTATGGAAATACTCATATAGGAGGGAGGGAGAGAAGGTTAAATTTCTTGCCATGGGCCACCACTGGAGCAACTGTTAACAATTTAAACAAGGATTATTTTTTGAAGCAAAACTGTGCAAGTAGGGTTTCTTTCCTTGAGGCAGGCAAAGGACATGCCTGGGCTCATACATTTTTAGCAGTTGGCATGTTAATGAGATAATTTCTACTGAAATGAGCTAAATACTATTACCATTTGTGGACTTCCAACTGATTTCCAAGGCACTTATTGAACTTCAAAAATTTCTCCATAATAAATTCATAATAAATTTTTAGATTCATGTGTATGTTGGTATCTATACACAAGAACAGTTAATGTTTATATTTATGTAGCTTGGCTCAGAAAGTGTCCAGATTTCTTAAAGCTCATGTTTTGATAGCTAAACAGTAATAGAAATAAAATCTGATAAAAGTTGTTACCTAACTCAGTGAAATTTTCAAAGTTTTTATTTTCTTATTTTTTGGGAAAATAATAATCAAAACATTCACTGACTGAAAAGTTTACAAAACTAGGGCAAATCACTAGTTTGGCACAGCTGGAAAATAGCTGCATCCGACTAAGTTGGAAGACATGGAACTCTTCTCTAGTGTCCGAATCTGAAAGCAGCATTATTATCAGGTGGTAATTACAGTTTCGGAATGAAACAGTGAATTTTTCAAAGCACTTACCTATTCTGCTTTTTTCTTTTCTGAATTATTTTTATATAAACTAGCTATCTTATTGCATTCTCATCACTGATATTACTATACATATTAGAGAAATTAGGAACTTGAAGAGTTAAATGTTTTGCTCAAGGTAACATTGCCAGTTGGCAGAAAAACCAGGACACAAACATTTTCTTTCTCTAATAGTTTCTCTACTGTTGGTAGGTGCTGCCCCTTAAAAACGAAAGCATCTCTTTCTGTCAATGGGACGTTTAACTGTATCCATGTCTGCTTCTTTAAATATCCATCAATAGGCGAGAGTTAAAAATGTTAATGGATTTGGTAGCAGAAGAATGAGAGCCCTGAAGTCCCATGTGCTCTCCACACACCAAGTATCCCAGTTGCAGAAAACACAGATGTTCTGTATGATGAATTTTAGATTTCAGACTATGAGTCTGCATGGCGAAGTGTGTCTCTCATTAAGATGTTTTCAAGTGATCTTTCCAGCAGATTCAACTGAGAGAGGCCTGTCTGTGACTGCTCTGCTGTAGGATAGGCATACTCCATGGTCGGCTTCTCAGCTAAGGTCTGTCTTTGAGATCTCTGTCCCTTTTGCAAATGGAGAAACTCAGGTCCTAATTAAAAAATAAAGCCCAATGCCTCTGACATGTGTAGCATGGAAGGGACCAGAGCTAAGGTGACATACTTAGGTATGCCTGGCTGATATTTGCTCTAATTGAACACAGTACATTTGATGGGTGTGTTAGTCAGCTTAGGCTGTCATAACCAAATACCATAGAGTTGGCAGCTTAAACAACAGAGATTTATTTTCTTACAGTTCTGAAGGCCAGAAGTCCCTGATCAGTGTCTGATGAGGGCCTTTTTCTTCACTTTCTGATGGCTGCCTTCTCTGTGTATCCTCACATGGCCTTTCCTCATTGAGTACATGTGGAGAAAAAGAAAGATACCAAGCTCTCTGGTCTCTCTCTCTCTCTCTGTCTTTCTCTCTCTCTTTTTTTTTTTTTTTTTTTGTTACAAGGGCATTAATCTCATCATGAAGACATCACCATCATTTAACCCTAAGTACCTCTCAACGATGCCGTCTCCAGATACCATGACATTGGAGGTTAAGGTTTCAACATATACATTTGAGGGGAAGACAGACATTCAGTCTATAATAAATGACATATGTGACTTCTAGGTCACATATGGGAAAGCTGTCCCACAGCTGTTGTAATTGTGGGTCTGCACTCATGAGTGAGATCTGGTGTGGCATTAGATATACCTTGATAGATGTAGATGAGTCTCCTCTGCTGGTTACTGTTTCTACAACTTCTCTTTACTGTGACTATTGCTAAGGTCTCAGCCCCAGGAATTCCCACTTATCATGATACCACAAACACTCCTTGGGCAATCACATCCTTGCTTATGGCTTCTACAAACACATGCAAACTGGTTAAAAATAATGCAAAACTTCCCAATCTCGTGTCCTATTTTTTCAGACATTTCTTCCAACTATATCCTAAACATTTCCTTCTAGTTGTTTTTACTGGTGTCTCACACATGAGAATTTCAGATTTAAACTCACGATTTTTTCTCAATACCCATCCTCAATAACAAGTAACTGACTTCTTTTTATTTCCTCTGACGTAAATGACATCACCACTCATCATCCACGTGCCTGATCAGTGATGACGCCCTTTCTCTCTCTACTTGTTTTCTATTGCTGCTGTAACATATTACCACATCTTTTCCTCATATTCTTCTCTACACTACATAGACCATGTTCCAGAGATTCTGGAATATTTGTTCATGCTTCATATCTTACCTTCTTTGAATATCTGAAGAAATACCTCTTCTCTATATTGAGTACATTTTTTCCCCCATAATTTCATGGAAATCTCTACACACAGTTAACTACTTCCTTCTTTGTGGCCTTCGATGTCAGGAATAATAGGAAGAGTGACTGAGACTCTGAACACGTATAAGAGATACTTTGGATATTTCTTAATTCTAAAAGAAAGATTTAGATTTAAATTCAGAATGACAAATGTGGGTGAAGGGGAGAAAGGAAGCAAAACACACTGCCATGTGTGTACCTATGCAAATGTCTTGCATGTTCTGCACATGTACCCCAAAACCTAAAATGCAATGAAAAATTAAAAAAAAATTCAATCAGATCATTGCATTATTACTGATATTGTGACTTTTAAAAATTTGTTTTTTGAGATAATATCTTGCTCTATTGGCCAGGCTGGAGTGCAGTGGTGATATCTTGGTTTACCACCACCTCTGCCTTCTGGGGTTCAAGTGATCCTCTGCCTCAGCCTCCCTAGTAGTGGGATTATAGGTGTGCACCACCACACCTGGCTAATTTTGTGAATTTCTAGTAGAGACGGCATTTCACCGTGTTGGCCAGGTTGGTCTCAAACTCCTGATTTCAAATTGTCCACCGGCAATAGCCTCCCAAAGTTCTGGGATTACAGGCCTGAGCCACCATGCCTGGCAGTGTTGTGACTTTTTAAACCATTCCTTTTCTCTTCCCAGCTCCCACAGACATACACAGTCTGCTTGGGTCTTTCAGGTTTGTGAGACTCACTGAATTTCAGATTATACTATTTGATATTTAATATTCATCATTTTATTGTACTAGGCATCATATATTATAAGTAAGTATATTTTAATAAATTATATATGTTCTTCTTATTTTTTTTAATACTCTGTCGGCTCTTGTGTCAGCTTTTCTGGGCTCAAATGTTAACTCTTACTTTTTCAGCTGTGTAAACTTGAGTGAGTTACTTAAGCTCTCTCAGTCTCACTTTTGTCAAAAAATGGGGGTAATAATAGTCTAATTTTGTAAATGTATTGGTAGCATGCTTAATCAGTACTGGGCACATGTGCCTAATACGTGATAGTCATTATTATTCCAGAAGGTGAATTTTCTGAAGGAAAATACTATTTGTAATTCACCTTTGTATCTTCATAATCAGGCACAATTTTGATATATAGCAGACAATCAATACATATTTGTTGAGCAATGAATATATATAAACTATTCTCTGACTGTCAGAACATAGTTACTGTATGGAAGACCAATCCAGAAACAAGCCTTATGGTGAAAGGATTTTAAAAATTATGGTACTACTTTCCTTCTTTCTTTTCCCCTTCTTTCTGTGAATTAGAATTTTGACTTAGATAGAATGCATGGATATATAATTAGGTGGTGTTATTGAATGTGGAAATTTAATATAATTAATTCATTGAGAATTCTTTGTTCAGTAAATAAATATTTATCAAGGGACTGATACATGTAGGGCATTCTTGTAGGTACTGGAGCTGCAATGTTGCATTCTTTGTAACTGGAAGCAGACACAATTTTCTGCATATTTCTAAGCAGAGTAAATGACAGGGGCCACAAAGGCCTGGAATCTGCTCTGTTTCCTTCTCATTAAGCCTTCAGGGACAACGTTTGACCAGAGTGAAAAGGGAACAACTGAAGTGTGCTGTTCTCTGTCAGGTCCCTGTTATTTGTTCCCGGATGACCTCAACTTTGTGGGACGCATCGTTCAGACTCCCCTGCTCAGTTTTCTGAGCGTGGATTGCTGCAGGACTGGGTGTCTTCTCTCTCTCTCTGTTTCTTCTGGTTCTTAGCTCTGTTAGCCTCCCTTTTCTTCCCAACAGAAAATCTCTTTAACAGACATGATCCAAAGTGACTCTGGAAATTTTCCTGATTTTCAGGCTTTTTTAAACAAGGTTGGTCTTGAACCAGTGCTTCAGAATGGAGTGCAGCTCTTGGCTCACTAGTCCTCTTATTGCAAGCCATTTCCATATCTTTGGCACATAATTGACATTCATAAGTAAAAGCTGGCTTATATCAATCCTGGTTCATCTTTAATTACTGACTCTTCAGATCCCTAGGACTGAATATCTCGCCATATGCCCATTCCAGAATTGTATACTGTTCTTCTGTTTGCAGTTGCAATCCACCCAAAGGTTAGGGTAGAAAATCTGATTATATTCTCCTTCTACTTTCCCTGACAGAAATAGTTTATTCTATTATAATCTTCTAACAAGCACTCTGTATGGGAAATAATCCCTCTAATATTTGAGTATGGCTGTCTAATCTGAGAAATGTCATATAGTGAAACAACCCTTTCCTTGATTAGCAACATTAATCAGCAACTTAGCCACCCACCCCTGATGTACTTATTTCTGTCTCAGTTTCCTCATATGTAGAAGGAGAGTCATAGTAGTACCCAGCACTTAGGCTTGCTGCATGGATAAAATGAATTAATAACATGTATTGTGCTTAGTATGCTGCCAGCACTTTGTAAGTGTTCAATAAATGATAGCTATCATTGTTCTTATTCATAGTATTACATAGTCCCCAAGAGACAAAATGATATTATTTATAAGTGTGCCTAATATGTATTTTTATATAATTGGAATATTGTAGAGTCATTAAAAAAACCTTTTCATTTGAGAACAGTTGTAGAGTTACAGAAAAGTTGCAAAGTTAGTATTGAGCATTCCCATATACCACACACCCAGTTTCTCCTGTTGTTAACACCTGACTTTACTATGGAAACCTTGTTACCACTAAGAAACTAACATTGATATACTACTCTTAACTCCATACTTCACTGGACTTCACTGGTTTTTCTCTCATGTCTCCATCCTGGGCTCCCATGTATGACACTCTAATATGCTCAGTCATTATGCTTCCTTAGGTCCCCTCTGGCTATGACAATTTCTCAGATTTTCCTTGTTTTTATTGACTGTCAGTTTTGAGGACTATTGGTTGGATATTTTGGAGAATGCTCTTTGTTTTGTGCTTGTCATGATCGTTTTTTCATGACAAGACTGGAGTTATATGTGCCCTTCTCATCACAGCTTATTATTAATACAGTATACACTATTAATCTGACTTATGTTGATATTAACTTTGATCAGTTTGCTGAGGTAATGTTTATCATGTTTCTTCATGGTAAAGTTAATTTTACCTTGTTTTAAGATATATTTGTCATAGACCTTTGGGATATGTGCAAAATTTAAAACATCTCGCATGTCAAATGTAAGAATACCAAAGGCTTATTTTAATAGAGAAGCATAATCCTACATCTCATTTGGAATATATTCCTTGAATCCTATCAGAACCAACTATTGTGATGAAAAGATAGACAGCACATCACCTCACTACTGCCTCCAACGTGATTTTGTCCCTGCCTTCCCACAGGTGGCTGGAAAGCTAGACAGGTATGAAATTGATGGTATGAATTAAAGGATAACATATTGCTTAGAAGATTTAAGTAATGGCATATGGGTCAGGAAGAAAACTGTGTGGTAAGCATAATTAGGATTTAGTGAAGGAGGAATGACTCAGGGATGAGGCATCTTATTGAAGAAATGGGGTGCTATAAATTGGGAGGGCTTGAAAGCTTATGGGTTAAGACTGAATTAAATGAAGAAATAAGCTACGTGTGAAATGGGGAAAGATCATCCTAGGTGCAGGAACAGCAAGTACAAAGGCCTAGAAGCTTTGCTGATGTGTTCTAAGAATGGTAAAAATGCATTCTAATTGCCAGTGATTTCTAGTTTCTTCTTAGGAACTTGCTGTGGTTATGAACTCTGCGGCAAATGTAGCCTGATTCTGAACTGTGTGAAATCATGGATATGTTTTTGAACCAGAATATTGTCATATTGTCTTAATTTTGAACAGGCTATACTCATTTTTTCTTCCTTGAAATTTTTCCTAAACAAAGTCTTTGGAAATACTAAGAAAAAGTTAATACAGCAGGATTTGACTTCATTGCCTAATGAAATTCTCTGACTCCCCAGGAATATCTATGGAGATTTTTCTCTAAAATTTATTGCTCCTTAAAATGTTTCATTAACTCGCGGCAGTGGGTTAAATCTTGCCATCAGCATGTCCAGAGAAGCCAGAGAAGCTTTTGTTAAGCTTGTTTATTTGTAGCAGGTGTTTGAATTTGACATTTGATTTGACTTAACCATATTTTGGGAGACTGCAAATTAAGAAAGCATCTGAAATATGCAGAAACTGTTATGTAGAAACATACTTACAGATATATGGGTGGAATTAAAGGAAAAAGCTTTCAATGAAACTCTTCTTTTTGCTTGAGGTTTGAAAAGGCTTGATACTTTTCTAATAATCCAAAGCCAGCTGATTTCTGTTCAGGAGGCTAAAAGGGATATAATAAGAAACCTGTTCCTGTAAAATTTTCAGTCTGTCTAAAACAAGTCTGAGCAGGAAATGTTTGTGAGAAACCTGTTCTCCTAAAGCCTTCCCTCCTGATTCCTCATTTCAGGAGGCTTCTTCCACACCCATATGAGTATCTGAAAGGTTTGTGTTTTTTTTTCCATCCGTATTAAGACTATTAATAGAAAATAGGCACATGGGTCCAAGTTTTCAATACAACCTAGAGACATAGCAATTTTTGTTTGCTCCTGATCAAATCAACATGGTTTTGTCATTCTTTAAAGCAGACTTTGGTATTCAAAACGTAGGAAAACTGTAAGCATTTCCTAGGCTCAAGTGATTCTCTTGCTTCAGCCTTCTGAGTAGATGGTACTACAGGTGTACACCACCATGCCTGGATATTTTTTCATTATTATTATTATTTGTAGGGGGTGAGGTCTCACTATGTTTCCCAGGGTCTTTTTTTTTTTTTTTAAAGCATACTGATAGGATATAGGTAGGAATGTAAGGGCAGCAGAGATGTGCCTTTACAATGATGTAAAATGTTACCAAACCTTCAATAATAATATCAAGGCATTAGTGGATTTGAGTGACAATATAAACCACATGTCAGATATTTCTGTATTAATTCATAGTAAGTTTTAGCATTTTTGTATATTTTACATCATATAGGAGAAAACAGATGTTTTTAAAGACCATTCCCTGAATTTACAAAATAATAAAAAAAATTTAAAAGCAATTGTCTGTCTACTCCTTTTACAAGACATAATGAATAAGAGCCTTGTGTCATAGCACAAAGCAAATCATCAATAGACAGAGGTGACAAGAAACAAAAGAGTAGCTTTAAGTCAGGAGGAGAATGAGAAAACCAATTTAAGGAATAGACTGGATTTATACCAGGAAAAAATTATTTGTTTTGATGTGAAAAATCATACCTTTGGGTTAACACCTCTCCTAGTAATCTAGATTAATTTAATACCCACATGTAATGCATTTTAGTGTCCTTCATAAATGCTAAAAATAAGTGTATTTACACATTTACTAGTGTGTGGTCCCACATGGGTAGGGAATGAAAATGAACAGAGAGATTAGAAGTCACTTCTGAGTCATGTATTCCCCAGTAACATTTTATTCTTGATCTTACATGCCTACTGGTATTCAAAGAATAATAAAAAGTAAAGACCCAAAATTCATTTCTAATTCTAGATGCATTTTTTTTACCTCACATACATGGCAAAGTAAACTTAAATTTTAGAGCTATTACATGCCTTAATATAATCTTTAAATTTGAACCTACATAGCAAGGTGGCCCTTTTCATTGTATTAATGTTTAGTTATTTTAATAAATATTGAAATTGAGTAACAGAAACAATAACAGAAAATGAATATTAAATATATACTTATTCTCCCTCAAAATTAAACTAAAATCAATAGCCTAAAGTTTTCAGTCATATTTGTGTCAAACATTTATGTTTTTCCTAAAAGCAGTAAACAAAAAGTAAGGGTGCCAATGTTTCTTAACCAAAACCTTAAAATATTATATTTATATTTGGGAAGATTTAGAACCTGAGAACAAGACTTCTATGTATTTTAAAGCAAGGCCTATTTATTCTTAATTGCCACAGAAATTTATAGTAAGGATTTACAAATTTAGGACAGGTTGGCAGTGGATGGGTAGGGGTTAAGGCCATAAAAATGTTCATTGAATTTTTTTGAAATGAATGAAATTAGATAATCTAAATTTATTCATTAAAAATATTTAATGAACATTTTCTATGCTCCACACCTGTTTGCTAAGTCCTAGAGATGTGCATATGGCGAACAAAGATAGACCCACCCTGCTCTCTTGTAGCTAACAGTTTAGAAAGGAAGAAAACATGTAAAAACGCTGCTGTGAGAAGTACTCCAAGGGGGAAGCAGTGCTGTAATGAGGGGATTTTAAACAGCTGGAGTGTCATAGGTTTCCTGGAAGAAGATTCTTAACTGAGATATGCAAGTTGAGTAAGCAGATAGGTGACAAGGTGTGTCCCCAAGAGTGAAAACAGGAGTGACGGAACAGTGAATTGGAATCAACAAAACTGGGACAAATGGGAAGCAGGGTTGGTGGACCTAAGTAGAAAATACATCCTACAGGCCAGTTTAGGCCATGTGAAGAATGCATCTTTATTCTAAGGTAGGCGACTTAATCGAACTTCCCACCTTGCATTTTGAAAGAAGCACTCTAGCTTTGAAAGAAGCAATTGCTTTGTGGTGGATTGGTTAGAGCTAGGTAGTCCATCAGGCAATTATTAGGCACGTGATACTTACTGTGTCAGGTTGGTGGTAGTGGGTATGGAAAAAGTGAAGTGATTCAAATGATCTGTAAGAGATATGTTGCCGTGGCTAAATGACAGTGTGGTCATGGGCTCTCTCTCTCTTTATGTATAAGTAATGAATTTACATATTACATATTATCCATGTTCTCCATTGATATTTATATATATATATAGTTATATAATATGAATATATGTAGAGAAATGTAAACATATGTGTAGGCATGTACGTATACATATATATATACACGTGTGTGTGTGTGTGTATTTCAGAGTAGTGCCTAATAAAGGATGCTCAAATAGAGCAATACTTCATGGTTAATTCTCTTTTATAGCAGATCTTCACTCTTTCTCTTATTTTTCCCTACTATGCATAATAGTCAGGAATTTTACATAAACAGAGAATATAAGATAATTGAGTGAAAAATAGAAGGATACATTTTCTCTTTATTGAAATGATTTTGACCGGTTTAAGGTAATTACGGCACACACATTCTACTTTTTGAACTAAATTATGCCAAGCTTCTCAAAACCACTAATTAAAGAAGTCATTTAAATAATGACTAAGTTAAGATAATGTATTACAGTTAAAGTGACAGTAGAGAAGAATTTAAAGAATGCTGAATGATGCTTAATTGCCATTATCTGGGTAAAGCACAAATGATTTTGGGTCAGCCTGAAGAATGATATTGGAAAAGTCACTGGGTTCTGGAATTGAGGCTTAAAGTTACAAATTTTTTTTGTCGTATTGATGTTTCCCTGTCATGATCATACCATTATTTTTAAAGGAAGTTTACAACTTTTATAATTCTGATTTGTGGCATGGTTTTAAAAAAGTGTAAATTATAATTAAAGTTTCCATGTGCTTCTCATACCAAGTTGTATTCAGCTAGCAGTTAAGTGATTACCTTATAAATATAACTTTAATACTCTTGCCTGTCTGTTTTCTGCCATTGGATGTTTTATCTAACAATTTTTTGGGGGATGAATTTATATTTCTCTTGTACATGGCTCATTGTTTATTGAATAATTGGAGATGGGTTATATCTAGCTATAGGAGATAGCCAGCATTTATAAAACATGAACATTTAGATCTTTTGTGTAACATTTGGATATAAATGAAATTTCCTTTTGAAAATAATGAGCAATGGGAAACGGCATGCATTTTAAAGGATGAATTACGTTGACACAAAACACTAAGATATGGTAAGATTTTATGGAATGATTTTCTCAGGTAGGGCTTTGGTTGACTAAGATGAACAGGTCTTGTCAGCATCCCTGGTAAGTGTTGGGGATGTTTTGCTGGGGTATGTTTACTAAATTGTATCACTACAGTTCCAAGACTCTAAATGAAGCAGTATACTGTGTATTACTGTATTACCTCAGCCTGCTCACAGCAGAAGGAACATTTTAAATCACATTACAGGTGCTCTCTCATTCAGTCTTTCATCTTCTGTCCATTATTAAAAATGAACTATAAGAAATCACATGGCAACCTAGAGTAGTTCTGGGAAATATTGAGCTTTGACTTTAAGTCTGTTTTCCTTGTAATACAAATAGTAATTTTCAGCTGATATGTTCTATCCTGAATGATTAATTTGGCTTGAAATGTCTTTCTATATTACCATTATTATTTTTTGTTTGTTTCTGAAACATATAGGAAATGGAAATGTCATGGACAGGGAATTTTTAAATGGATTCTTCTATGACTCACAGTCATTTTAGCTTAGGCTTCCTATTTGTAATACCTTCATATCAGCAATGTTTCTTTCTGCCTTTTGACAATATTATTTCTGGGAAATTAAGCTAATTTCCATTTTTCATTCCCTGTTGAAAGGATTACTCATATCCTCTCTCTTACTCCTCATGTGTCCTTGATCAATAATAATAATCCATGTGACTCATTTGAAATTGTTTCTTCTTTAATGAATGCTATTAGCTTTTTTCTCCATTTAACTCCATATATTGATTTTTGGTCCAGATTCTACCACTTTTTTGTATCCTTTTTTTTTTTTTCAATTCTTCACCTTGGAATATTCTTTAACTCTAAGAAGATAAATTACTTCAAGATTTTATATGTATACAGTATTACTTATAATACAATTTATGTTAATTTTAAATGGTTTTTACAGACTCAATCTCATTTTCTTACTATGGTTGAGGTAATTGTCCTTATTCTATAGTTGAAAAAATCAGGGCTTAGAGAAATTAAGTAAATGACTTACCCATGGTAATATTTTTGAAAAATGACAAACTCAGGACATAAGCTAGGCAATATTATTACTTTTTTAAGTATACTTTTTAAAGTATAGCCTAATATTTAGTAAATCACACATGTGAAGCAATACTGTTGGCATTGGGGATGGGGTACGTCTCATTCCACAATTGGGTATTTTGACTCAATTTGTTTCATTGTAAATACAAAACCCAGATAACATTGCTTATGTAATTAGTTTATCAGGAGTTACAGGCATGCCTCATTTTATTATGCTTGACTGCATTGTGATTTACAGAAATGGTGTTTTGAAGGTTCCTGGAAGTCCTCCTTGAACAAGTCTATTGGTGTCATTTTTCCAAAGTATATGCTTACTTTGTGTCTCTGTGTCACATTTTAGTAATGCTCACAATATTTAAAAACTTTTCTTATTATCTGTTAGGGTGAGTTGTGATCAGTGACCTTTGATGTTATTCTTGCAATTGTTTTAGGGTGCCATGAACCATGACCAAATAAGATAGTAAACTTAATCCATAAATGTTGCATGTGTTCTGACTGCTTCACTGACCAGCCATTCCCCTATTTCTTTCCCTCTCTTCAGGCCTTCCTATTCCCTAAGACACAATGATATTGATTTTAGACCAATTAATAACCCCACAATGATTTCTAAGTGTTCAAATGAAACGAAGAGTCACATATCTTTCAATTTAGGTGAAAGTTAGAAATGATTAAGCTTAATGAGAAAGGCATGCCCAAAGCTGAAATAGGCTGATACCTAGGCATCTTGTGTCAAATGGTAGCCAAGTTGTGGAAGCAAAGGAAAAGTTTCTAAAGGAAAAGTGCTATTCTAGTGAACAACCGAATGATAAGAAAACAAAACAGATTATTGCTGATATGGAAAAAGTTTTGTCTGGAGAGAGGATCAAACCAGCCACAACATTCCCTTAAACCAAAATCTAATCCAGAGAAAGGCCCTAACTCTCTTCAATTCTATGCAGGTAGACAGAGATGAAATGACTGCAGAAGAAAAATTGGAAGCTAGCTGAAAGTTGGAAGAAGAAAACCTCACAAACAAAAGTTGGTTTGTGAGGTTTTAAGGAAAGAAGCCATTTCTGCAACACGAAAGTGCAAGATAAAGCTGCAAATGCTGATGGAGAAGTTATAGTAAGTTATCCAGAAGATTTAGCTACCTAAGGTCATTGATGAAGATGGCTACACTAAACAACAGATTTTCAATGTAGATAAAAAAGCCTCGAGAGATGAAAAATTTTGAAAAAAGATGCCATCTAGAACTTTCATAGATCGAAGTAGAAGTTAATGTTTGGCTTCTAAGTTTCAAAGGTTGACTCTCCTATTAGGGGCTAAAGCAGCTGCTAACTTTAAATTGAAGCTAATGCTCATTTAGGCCCTTAAGAATCAAGCTATATTTACTCTGCCAGCGGTCTGTAAATAAAACAACAAAGGTTGGATGACAGCATAATTATTTGCAGGATGGTTCACTGAATATTTTAAGCCCACTGTTGAGATCTACTGCTCAGAAAAAAGATTCCTTTCAATATATTATGACTCACTGACAATGCAGCTGGTCATCCAAGAACTCTGATGGAGATGTACAAGGAGATTAAGGTTATTTTCCTATCTGAGACACAAGCTTTATTTTGCAGCCTATGGATCAAATAATAATATCAGTTTTTAAGTCTTATTATTTAAGAAATTTCACAAAGCTATAGATATCTTGAGTGATTTATCTGATGGATCTAGGCAGAGTAAATTGAAAACCCTCTGGTAAGGATTCACAATTCTATGTACCATTAAGAACATTTGTAATTCATGGTGAGAGGCAAAAATAGCAACATTAACAGGCATTTGGGAGTGGTTGATTCAAACCCTTATGAATGACTTTAAGGGGCACAAGACCTCAGCAGAGGAAGTAATTACAGATGTGGTAGAACTAGCACGAAAATGAGAATGAGAAGTAAAGCCTGAAAATGTGACTGAATTGCTGCAATTTTGAATGGTCTAGGAGTTGCTTCTTATGAATGAGAAAAGAAAGTAGTCTCTTGAGATGGAGTCTACATCTGAGGGAGATGCTGTGAAAACTGTCAAAATAACAGCAAAGAATATGGAATATTACCTAAACTGAGTTGATAAAGTAGCTGGAGAGTTTAGGAGACTGACTCCAGTTTTGAAAGAGTCATTATGTGGGTAAAATGCAATCAAATAGCATCACATTCTACAGAGAAATCTCTTGTGAAAGGAAGATTTCTATTCTATCCTATTCTATTCTATTCTATTCTATTCTATTCTATTTATCTATTCAGCAATCTTCACTGTTGTCTTACTTTAAGAAATTGCTACAGCTACCCTAGCTTTCAGCAACCACTACCCTGATCAGTCAGCAGGGGTCAGCAATGAGGCAATACCCTCCGTGGACAAAATGGTTAAGACTTAAACTGAAGGCTAGGATGATTGTTAGCATTTTCAGCAAATATTTTTAAATCAAGATATGGTTTCTTTAGACATAATGCTATTGCACATTTAATAGACTACCATATAGTATAAACATAAATTTTATATGTACGGGAAACCAAAAAAATATGTGACTTGCTTTATTGTGACATTGGCTTTATTGCAGCTTTCTGGAACAGAATCCACAAGATTTCTGAGGTATGCCTGTCCTTAATTTATCCCAAACATGGAGCTGCTTTTCATTTTATTTCTTTTAAAAGAAAGGAATATCATATTAATATGACCACTGAACTCTTACAAATACAATATGTTCTTCATATTTGTCTACATGGACTAAGAATAGAGCTTGCAATATTTTTTTTGTATTTAACTGACTGTTAACTGATAGCATTTAACTGATAGCGTTTCCAGAACAGATTTTTGAGTTGAGGGGTACTGTGGCAACCATTATGTGGAGCCAGGCTACAGATCTGTACACAGAATGGCCTCCCAGTCTTGGCCAAGCTTGGCCTCATGAGTGGGCCAGCTAATAGAACACCTCCAGAATCTTTAGTCTAGGTGCTGCTGGAGAGCTTATATTGATGGCTGACATTGATCATTATTCTGTTAACTTATATCAAGGAATACTTCCTCTCTAAAACCTGTAACCTGGAGCAAGAATTATAATATCTATGTCATTTTAGTACATCCCACAAAACAGCAAGTCATGTACTGTATGTATGAGTTAACTGTTTCATGTCCTCTAAGCACTTAGCTAGAAACTTGGTGACCCCAAATATGCTGGAAAAGATTTTTTTCCCTGAACTTTTCTGTAAGAATTCGTAAAGGGTAGAGTGTCTGATTAATAGTCAGCATAGAAATACATATTTAGAGCCTTATTTGTGTGGAAAATACCTTAGAAGAAAACTGTCACCAAGATTTAACCTTCGGGATAGTATTTAGAGTAGAAACAGAATAATTACCTAGAGTGTTGTTTTCCAGATTTTGCATTTCTTTGAAAATAATACATTTTGAGGTCAGTAAGTCCAAACTTCTAAGAAATAATAAAGAGGACCCAAGTTTGATGTTCAATGGCTGTTGCCTACAATTTTAAACAAGATAGTGATTGAGCTCCTTACAGAAAATATAAAAATGCATCATTAGAAGCTTTGTCTTGGGTTTGTGAAATGTTTTGAAATAACTTTTGCAATGAGTAAACTAGTTTCATATTGTCATTGTGATACAAAGCCTTCTTTAAAACAAATAAGCAAACAAACATATAGCCCTTAGGCTTGATACATGTAAATGGTGGTTAAAAAGATGCCTTCCTTTTAAATCATACTTGGCCCGAGAAAAAGACTGCAGTTCTACACATTTCCAGCAGGGGTCAATATGTTTTCATCATTACTGAATGCTCAGTGAGCAAGCAACAGAACTGTTGATCCTAATTGGAGCAGACAAGAGGATCTTCTATAATCCTCTGACATCCTTTTCAAATAATAATTCTTAGGTGGGTGGTGGGCTGGTGGCTGCAATGCCAGTGCAGGCTTCTCTACAATGAAGCCTAACCATTGTCAATTATTTTTGATGTATGCTAGCTTAACTTGTCTCTTCTTACTGGCTTTTCCAAACCACAGAAGGGTATTCCTCCTCCTAATTATTGTCACAGTACCCAAGATGGTCAGAACAAGTGTGTTATTTTGGCTTAATGTGCTCTCCAAAACCAATTCCCTTCCTCTCCAGCCTCCCTGTGCTCTTCCTACAAAGAGCAAGCATATACTTGCGGTCAAATATCTGAGGAGTCTTTTACTTATAACCTTAATTGCCATAGTCATTGACTTTAACTCATTCAATGCCAGCATTTGGAGGCAACTGGAGATATGATAATAAGTATATATGATTAGAGTGCATATATATAGCTTCCAGTAGGTTAATAATTGGGACTAAATCCTCCCCCACCCACACACTTTCTAATAATTTGTTCAGGGGCTCTGCCAGCCAGTGATATTCAGGGAACAAATTGTCGTCCTTTATGTGCATTTTAAAGCCTGGCGTTTGCCAGAGTGTCACACTGTCATGCAGAAGCTTGAGTTCTCTGAGTCAAAGGGGGAAAAAAAACAATGTATGTCCTGCCCCACATTTGTAAGCTCATATTTTACTCTCCTTGGCCCTGAGTACAGCCCTTTCTGCTGAGCAGGGAAGCGAATGTCTCCGTGTAGAGACATTTTCAGAAATCCAATTCTGGAGAGCTGAGGAGTGTTGCGGCAGGAATGTATTACCGGGACACTTAGAAGGTTGTTAACTGCTTGAGTGCTGCTGCCTGCAGGAGAGAGAGAAGGGAGGGACCGCAGTTGCAGTAGAGCTCTAGCTCCACTCAGCTTAGCCAAAGTGGGGTTTTAAAGTGGTACCTTCGTATATCTCTGTAGGTAGCAGGGGATGTCTTTTGCAAGGTAGAACATGGGTTATAAAGGTAAGGCCAGAGTTAGCATGGCATAAGCAGCAGTTATTTATCTTGAGCTGGATTCACAGGGACTGAGATTATTTTCTACTTATACAGAGATTGAGAGGCTCCTAAAAATAAATATTCTATCATAGATTTCAGTCAGATAGAAGGGAATATATTCATTTGTGCATGTAGGTACATTTTAAATATTCTCTCTAAAATTGTGGAGATTTCTTTTGCTTTCAGAGATTACCAGTACCCTTTAACAAATCAATAATAAAAACAAATCCAGTTATCCCTGTTCTTTGCAAATCTTGCTTTAAAGTTCATATTGTCATATTTAAGCAAAACAAGTGATAAAATTCTTTGGTGGGACTACTCTTTTTCTCTTTTACTTTAATTCTATGTTGACTTTAAAAACAAAACTTACATACCTTCCTCAAGGTATGAGGCATAGATGCTGTAAGTTGATGGAGAGGACAGCAGTTATTTCAGCTTGGTTCTGACAGCCATCTGACAGGTGATACTCTATGTCTCTGACAGATAGAAGCGGGGAGGAATTTTGAGCTCATTCTTGGCTGTTGCCGCAGCAGATTAATTTATTTTTTTAAAGGTTATCGTTAGCATGAATGGAAAAATGGGTTGGCTGCCTAATAATGCATCTCTTAAAAGAAGCATATATTTATTTAGTCAAGGCATATTTATCAAGTGCCTGCTATATGACAGACACTGATAGAACTATTGGGACTATATTGGTGAATAAGATAGGCAAGGGTTGTATTCTCATGGGGCTTACATTCTGCTTGTTAAAACACACATGCTTTGAAAGTATATAAGTATATGTTCTAAAAAAAATCCTCAGTGCATTTTTATTTCCTCATTTCACACATTTGCTTCTTCGTATTTAAAATGTAGGCTGAAACACTCCTTATATTCTTTGAAGGTGAAAAAAAATATCACTGCAGGGTGAACTACAGAATTTCAGTGACTACAGAAGTGCTTCAGAACCTAAATTGGGAACAGAGTGGATGTAAAATGGCTTACAAATAATTAGCAGATTAGGATGCTTTTTAGTTACTGCGTCCATTCATAAAACCGAGCAAAGTGTGTCTGGAGCAGCCGACACCAGAGTTCAAGGTTGACCATGTCCTCTGCAGGAGGTCGTGATAACTAAACATGACCATTTCTTGTTCTCACAGCATGGCTTCAGGAAAACCAAATGGTCTCTGCCCTCAGAGTCCCGACCTCATGAATTAGAAAACGAGGGAGAAGA